TCAAACATAGGAAAAGTAACTAGAATATGGTGACGAAAACATAAAATAAGATGGTACCTTTGAACTCAAATATTAGCATTCACATTAAACATAAATAAACCTGTGTTTCAGTTAAAAGTCAAAAATTGTCAAAGTTGACATTAAAATGTTTTCATGGGCTATTTACAAAGTCTTGCTTAAACAGAAGTATAGACATTGAAATTGAAAGGTGGAAAAAATACACCATAAATATACTCACCAAAAGAAAGCTGTTAAGCTATATTATCACAAAAATAAGTGAATTTTAGAAAACCATAATTTTACCAGAGATAAAGAAGCTCAATTCACATAAAGATACAGATATAAGACATATGAATTATAGATATAATATATATCAAACAACAGTTGAAAGAACTAAAGGGAAAAATAGAAAAAAATCTAAAGTGAAAGATTTTCTAATGGGATTAATACAGCAGGTCAGGTGGAACAAAAAAATCAGTAAGAATATAGATATAAACAAAACAATGAGTAATCTTAATTGAAAGGTCAAATCATTACACCAGATAATCACAGAATACAAATCTTTCCAAGCACCCATGAAGCATTTGCCAAAACTGACCAAATACTGGGACATAAAGCAAGAGTCAACACATTGCAAATGATCGAATCAATTTAGAGTATGTTCTCCGATTATGAGTGAAACTAAATTGGAAATCAATACCAAAACTRTAACCCACATGTCACAATATGTTTGGTAATGAAAAAATGATATCTCCAAATAACTCATAGATCAAATCAGACATCATAGTAAAAACTAGAAAGTATTTTGAACCAAACAGTCATGAAAACACTCTCTATCAAAGCTTCTGAGATGCAAGTAGAAATGTGCTCAGAGGGAAATTCTTAAAGCCTGAACTGTGTATTTTAGGAAATAGAACAAACTGCACATTAATTAGCTGAGCACATATCACAAGAAGTTAGAAAAAGAACAGCAAAGTAACAACACGAGAGTGGAAGGATAGAATTAATAAAAATAAGAACAGAATTTGGTGGAACACAGAAAAGAAGCATTCAGGAGGGAAAAATCAATATGCCAACAGTTGGTTCTTTCAAAAGACTAATAAAATAACAAACCTCCAGTAATACTGTGCAAAGAAAAAGAAAGGGATGCAAGCAGCCTTCGGAATGAAAAAAAGCCATCCGTACAGATGGCCCAGACATTGAACAGATAAGAAAACAGCATGAAGAAACTTACGCCAATAAATTTCAAATGTTAGATGTAGTGGACAGAAATCCTAGAAAAATCCAAGTTGCCAAAAATTATAATGAAGAAACGAAAATCTGAATCATCTTCTAACCATTAAAGAAATCGAATCAATTGTCAATGATGTTCCCACAAATTAAATTCAAGCCTCATCAGACCTCACTGGTGAGCTCCACCAAACAGCAAAGAAAAAAAAAAAAAATGTTACTTCAGTCCTCCACAAGAGCCCTGTCGGGGTATAAAGAGGAAATTCCTCAACCCTTTGTATGAGTCTGGCTTCWCCTTGATACCAAAAGCTCATCAGGACATTGGGTTAGCCAGCCTTGGGTCACTCGGTGTCACCAAAATAACCTGACAAGAACAACTCAGAGGAGAAAAAGTTTTAAGGTGGTTCACAGWGTCAGAGTTTAGTTTATGGTCAGCCGAGTTTATTGCCCTGGGTCCAAGGTGAGGTGGCATATTGTGGAGGAAAAGTGTGCAGAGAGAAGCTGCTTCAGGACATGGGGACTGGGAATCACAAAGAGAGAAAAGGAAGGGACTACAGGGAATGTGCACCTTGCCAGTGCAAGCCCCCACACTGACCAACCACCTCCAACCCTGGCCCCACCAGCCWATAGTTACCGCAAGGTTAGCCCTTCAGACAAGGATGGATGGATTCGTTTACAGCTCTCACAATCCAACCATGTCATCTCTGAACATTCCTGTATTATTAACACAGGATATTTTGGAGGACCCCTCATATCCAAACCATAACATTCCACCCCTGGCCCCCAAAAGCTCATGTCCACCACATAATGAAAAATGCATTCAGTTGATTTTTCAGGAGACCCCGTAGTCTTAGCAAAATCTCCCCAAATCCAAGTTCAAAATGTCTTCTGAGACTCAAGGCAGACTCTTGGCAGTGAGCCTCTGTAAAGATCAAGAGCAATTACATATATCCAATACACAGTGGCACAGAGTAAATATYATCATTCCAAAAGGGAAGAATAAGGGCTTAGAAAGAAGGGGTAGGACCAAACAAGACTGCAGGCAAACAGGTCCCTTAACACCACCCATAGCCTCTTGGGTACCTGGGGGAAGRTGTTCTCTCCAAAGGGCTTTGGAAGCTTAGGGAAGGCTCTGGCCTTGCCAGTTGCTGTGCTCATGGTCTCTCCCTTAATCTGGTTCTCTCCGCAGCCAGCAGATTTTCTCAGCAGATAGTCCATGTTACTGGCATCTTTTAATTTCTAGGGTCTGCCTTCCAGCTTCGTCCCCACCTTCACAGGGCCACTTATCACCCTCTCAGGGCAATCTGCACAAATGCTGACCCTGCTCCACCTTGCCTGGCACTCCCAGATCTTTCCTCAAAATTCTGGTGGAACCCTCCATGGTGGCTTAACTTCAGCTTCCTTCATTCCCTCAGAACCAGCAGCACGTGGATGATGCCAAGGTCTGCCACCAGCTCATGTTGACCCCTGTCATCTTAGCCATCTGCAGCACCCTCTCAGTACCTGGGTGGCTGAGCACAGTGTCAAAATTTTCCTAGGACCCCTTGTGCAAGCAGGGCATCACCAGGATCTCAAAGGAATTTTTCCTTCTACATCCTTAAGCCTGTGATGGGTGTGGTCTTGCAAATTCCTGAGATGCCTTCAAGCTTTCTTTTCCTCTGTGTGAAGTACTTAGCATCTCTTTCATGGCTAACATCTCTTCAACAGTCACACCTTTCTCCCCCCCCCCTCAATTTTAAATGCACTATTTTGGTCAAACTGCAAGTTTTTATTCAGCTCTGCTTTCCGCTCCTGATTCTCACAGTAAATTTGGCTAAAAGCAAAATTCATGCCACTGACTGAATGCTATGCTGCCTTGGAATTTCCTCCACCAGATTAATTATCCCACTGCTTTAAAATTCAGAATCAGGCAAAGTCTCAGGACATAGGAAATGTAGAAAAGTTCTTTGCCAGAGTGTCACATGAAGAGCCTCTAGTCCAGTTCCCTCTAGATTCCTCATTTTCCTCTGAACCCTCATGAGCATAGTCCACATTCCTATAGGAATTCTGGTCTTCTGGGCTCCCACCAGAATTTCCCATTAAGCTCTGCTCACAGCAATGTAAGATTTATCTATTCTGCATCCCCAAACTTTCCCAAACTCTTCCCCAAAATCAGTTCCAAATGCCTCTGAACTACATGGTCAGGGATTGTAAAAGAATTATAGACCCATCTTCCTTCCCAACAACTTCCCCACCCGMAATACCAGTTTCTCTGTTAGTGAGCTTTGTGTCACTGTGACCAAAATACTTGACAAGAATTTAGAGGAGGTAAAGTTTATTTTGGTTTTTATTTCAGAGGTTCAATACATGATTGTCTGAGTCCATTGCTCTAAGACCAAGATGAGGCAGCACACCATGGCAGGAGGCCTACCAGAGGGAAGCTGCTCAGGACAGGGCAGCCAGGAAGCCAAGAGAGAGAAAGGGGAAGGGGTCCCAGGGGAGGACCGCCCTTCCAGGGCACACCCCACTGACCCACCTTCCTCCGGCCACATCCCACCTGCCTACGTTTACAGACAGCCCAAACTCGGATGGGTTGATTAGGTTATAGCTCTCAGAGTCCATCCGTTTTACCTCCAAACACTTCTGCATTAACCCAGGAGCGTTGCGGGGGGTGGAGGGGGGGACACCTCACATCCAAACCATAACAGACCGTAAGAGAAAGAATTATAGAGCCGTCTTCCTTCCCAAAAGTAACTAGCAAAGTGAAGCCATTGGTGTCAGTTTATCTAGAAATGCAAATGCTAGTTTTAAGACTAGAAAATTAATCAGTGCAATCCACTATATTAACTGACCCAAAGGAGAAAAATTGCACCATCATTTCAACAGTTGTCCATCAGGGGGATAAAATGATAAAATCCAGTCTTCTTGCATGTCAGAGACTCTTGAGCTTTCGATAGAGAATGTCTCTAAAAGTAACACTGTCCAGATCAAGTAGACTCAGCTTCAGAAGAAAGGCCAAGTGTCATGGGCTTAATACATTAAAGTTATCTCCCATCACACAGATCCCATGCAGGTTCACGGGATCTATGGGGAGTTTCTGTGGCAGATGAGCACAGCCCATGGCTATTCCAAGACAGGCCTCTCCTTCCACTCACAGCAAGATCCTCCAAAGTCAGCCCACCCAACTATCCCCCAACCCTGCTCCATGCTGCACCCCATCTTACACCTTGCAGCCTCAGTGCCGATTTGGACTAAGAAACTACGCTTACCCATTGTCCCCCACAGGGGACATCATGATTTCCTCAAACATTTTTATTTCTTGCACTGGGGATTGAACCCAGGGGCACTTGACCTCTGAACTACATCCCCAGCCCCCTTCCCCAACTTTTTAACACTTTTGAATTTTATTTTGAGACAGGTCCTCAGTAAGTTGCCGAGGCTGGCCTTAAACTTTCGATCCTCCAGTCTCAGCCCCACAAGTCTCTGGGATTACAGGTGTGGCCCCTGCACCAGTCTTCCAGCATATTCTGTCTCTGTGGGCCCGTTGCTCTGTAGGCTCTGCCCTTGCAGCCTTCCTCTCGATAAAAGTACTGCAGGGGGGTGTAGAAGACTGTTAGGGAGGCGCGAGATCACAGAGTGATCCCTTGCCCTTGCCATTGGCCCATGAAGGAGAGCATGCCAGGGTCATGCCCACTCAGGACAGTCAGAGGTCTTAGCACCTGCCTGGACTCACACCGCAGGGTGGCAAGCATCTGTCTGGACATGCAGCGTCATTGTTCTCTCCTGCCTAGGAATGTACCAGGTGACCCAGGGCATCATCTCACCTGTCAATGACGACTACGGGAAGAAGGACTTGGTGRCTTCTCATCACCGAGTGGCCATGGCCCGGCTGGCCCTGCAGACATCCGACTGGATCCGGGTGGATCCCTGGGAGAGCGAGCAGCCACAGTGGATGGAGACGGTGAAGGTGCTGAGGTAAAGGTGGTCATGCTCTTGTGTCATGACCTGCAGGGTCCGTGGAGGAAGGGAGGGAAGGAGAGCAGAGTGGGGCTTCATTCAGACCTCTTCAGCCAAGGTCTGAGAAGTGTCTCCAGTGAGAGAGACCGACAGTCACCTTTTCAGAGAGGTCCCCAAGCCACTGTCCATCAGGAGGCACTTGTACTTGTGGAGAGACCCCCCTAATCTTCTGTCAGAGAGCTGTAGCATCAGGCCCTGGGCCATCACTCAGTTGCTATGTGACTCTGATCAAGTGACTTAACCTCTCTGAGACCTATTTCTTACTTGTGAACTGAGGACAATAAAACCTAATGAGGATTTTTTTTTTTAATATAAATAACTCTCATAACCTTGAACAGCCTGATACCTTCATTATGATTATTTTTGTCATTGACTGGCTTGGAAATTGAATCTATACAATAATCTTTTTTGCTTGCACAAATCCCAGGTACTCTAAATCTAGACTTTTATGTAGAATAGAAAAAAGGAAAGACTGTGAATCTAGAAATAGTTCCTCAAGATTTTTTTTCCTGTCTGTCTTTTGAAATTGCTGTTAGTGTTCAACATAAGTAACACAGCTCTTCCAAGCCCAGGACCAGGGTATTTGGGGGAGAAGCAGGGAGTTTCATCTGCCCTGGCTCTCAGCAGAGGGTGAGAGGGACTGCATCACCATCRGTCACCTCCTTCAGCTCCGTGGCAGGGACTGCAGGCTGCAGGCGGGGTCTTCTATTTGGAAGCACCAGGATTTTCACGGAATGGGAGGAACACGGAACAAGTCATTGGCAGCCCTGTCCATAATGTGTTCAGCCTCGGTTGTTTACTTATTTTCGGAGGCACTTGGAAGGAAACTGTTTGAGTTTTGAGTAAAGGTAAACATGGAGACTGCATGTCCTGGTTCCAATGACTTCACCTTCTGCTGGGGAAGAACAGCTAGGAGCAAGTCACCAGTTACAGCGCCACTTCAGAAGCTGCTGCTGAACCRAAAGGAGAGCAAATAGGAAATACTTGTCAAGATGTGTTCACCCTTTTTTTTAAACCACCCCTTGGGATAAGCAAAGGCTCATATAYTGAAAACTGCACAAGGAATAAATTTGCACCTCAATCATCCTTTTAGAATGAGTGACGTCTCATTTGTCTAGGCTAACAGAGGGGAACAGAAGCAAGACAATAGATGACGCAACAAATCACTTAGCCTGCAGGGATCTGCCTTCCCTGCCACGGGAGAGGCAGGTTGCGAGAGGCAGGTTGCGGAGGGCACAGGCTTTGAAGCCAAACTGACCAGTGGAATGACTCGGTGTAAGTGGCATGGCCTCCTCCCTGAGCCTCCATTCCTCACCTAATAAAATGGGTGACATCATCTACCGCACAGGATTCTGAGATGATGCAGCAAAAACCTGGTTTATGGGAGGTGCTGGATAATGCCAGCTCTCCTCTCTGCATCCTCAACATGAGGCTGACATGACTTCTCCTCAGAGCCCGTCTGTCATTCATGGATACACAGGCAGTGACCAAGAGTAATTTAATGTCACTCATGCTTCTGCTGCAAAATGCAAGTGTGAGCCACAATTTTACTGCACATACTCCTTATATTTTTTTATTTCTTTCTTTTTTTTTTTTTTTTTTACCATATTCTGTATTCCACCGCTGGCTATACATTGGAACCACCTGGGGAGCATGGAAAAATATAGGTGGCTGTGATATCACTGGTTGGGGGCGGGGTACTGAAATTTTTGAAGAGTTCCCTGGTGATGCTATTGTGTGGCTAGTGTTGAGTCCCCCAGACTCGGTCACTGAGCATGTAACTCACTTCTGATTTAAACTGAGGTCCACTCAAGGCAGTGGTCAAAAACCCTGGCTGCAGGGATCACTTGGAAAACTTTTTTTTTAAATGCTCACCATCATCCCAGAGATTTGGGTTTGCCGGGGTGGACTCTAAGTGTGGGTCAGAGTCCCGGATGATTTATGCGCTGGCGTGGTTGAGAATCATGAYGTAGATAACAGTTTTCACGGAGAGATGATTGGAGATCTTTTAAAGGTTGAAAATCTGGTTAAAATGGTCAAGTCAGGTGGTGTGGGCAGCACGGCAGGAACTGGTCCCATCATTGCTCCATTGAGTCTCCTTCTGGTAGAGTCCACGGTGGATCTATACCACAGTGACACAGTAGCAAATGACAACAGGATGAATCTCTCAGTGGTATCAATTCCCCATGGAGCTTATTGAAGATTATTTTTCTTTTTCCCAGATTGTTTATTTATTTATTTATTTATTTATTTATTTATTTATTTAGAATCTTGGCCACTTTCGTGTCCCCAGGGCATTGGCAGCTTTCCTTCTCTGGGAGCTGTGGGCAGGAGGGTCTCACGGTGCCAGCTCCTGTGGCCCATCACCCACTGTCCTCTTTGTCCATTCCAAGCATGATCTTAAGTCGTCCTCGTTCCACAGATGAGAATACTGAGAGGCTAGTCACAGTCACACAAATCAGCAGGAGGTGGCACTCCAGTCGGCCCCACTCTGAAGCCATGCCGTGGCCATCTCCAAGGACAGTGACCTGCCGGCTGGGAGCATGGGGTAGCTGTCTTTGCTCTTGCCATTCTCACCCTCTGAAGGGGCTTCCTTGGAGATCAGGGGGCTGCTGGGGACACAGGGAGCATGCTGCCAGCATCAAGTCACAGGCCCAGTGCTGGCCACACAAGGACAAGCAGCAGCAGCAGTGGCCCCCTGGCCCAAGAGACAGAGAGGAAGTCCACAAGGAAAGCACCCTTGGTACTGAAGGTCATCATTTGAACAACAAGATCCAGAGAGCCAAGATTCAAAGTAGAGAAAACTTGAACTTGGAGCTTAGAGACAAGTAAAACGAGATGCCAGTCACTACCTTAAGGCCCCGCCTGATGCCAGGCTCCCTCATGCACATGGCTCTAAGAGCTCTGCAACTCTGAGAGGTTGGGTTCAGCCCCATTTTACAGATGGGGGGATGGAGGCTCTGGAAGGCTCAGCAACATTCTCAAAGTCCTACAGTCAGAAAGCGGAGGGGGCACTCAAACCTACTTCAGTCTGAAGAGTGGGCGCAGACCAAGCCGGGGCATACCTTCAGAGAGGAAGCTTTCCAAGCCACGCGGCCAAACAGCCATGGAAGCAGCCTAGCCAGGCCCTGGGGAGACRCAGCCGAGTCTCTGAAGCAGTCGAAGGGCCTTGGGCCAGGGTGAGATGTCTCCATGTACCCACTCCTTCCCTGGCTCCTGAGTTCAGGAGTCTGCAAGTGGGYACTTTCTAAGGAAATAAGAATATGAAGGTGAATGAAATGAGGTCCTTATTCACAGTCTGGTGGGACGACAGACTGAGGAGTGTTACCGTAACAACAGGTGAACTCTATTGAGCAGGTCCTGCAGGGGCTAAGCTTTCCTGTTCTGCCACGCCTCCTCCTGGTCCCAATCAGCAGGGGCCGCTTCCCCAGCCTTTTGCAGGGTAGAGCACTTTCTCTGTGGTCTTATAATATGTGCTGCAGATGAGGCCAAGTGAACTTTCATGATCAATTAACAGATGAGGTCAGTGAGGCTCAGAAAGTGTCAGTAACTCATCCAGGCTCTCGGAGCACTTGGCTTGCACTTGAACTTGAACCCACACGCTCTGGCTGCAGAGCATGTGCATTTCCACCAGGCTCCGCCCCCTCCCACAGGCGGCTCTAGCAAAGGCATAAAAATAAGAAGAGGGAAGATTGGGTCCGTGCAGGAAAGCATGTMCGGTGATTTCCTGTGTTCCATAAGAGAAGAAGGTGCAGGTACCTCCTGGCTTAAGGAAGACAGATGGTTTAAAACGCTGAGCATGCCCAGTGGGTGCAAGTCTAATCCTCTCCAAAATGCTCAGTGCATCCATTAACTCTTCATCTCCAGTTGGGCACTGTCATCACCTCCTCTTTGCAGAACCATTCACAAAGACCCGGAATCCTTCCCCCAGGGTCACACAGCCTCGGGGGAGCTGGGACTCCCCTCAGGCCATCTGACTCCAAGCCCTGGCTCTCAGTCATCACCCTGCTGCATTTTAAAGCACTGGTTTATACTAAGAGCAGGGTCTCTCTAGAGATTGGAGGATGTGCCGGGGCTTGGTGTGAGTAAGCTCCTCACTTTCACAAAAGCCCACCACACAGGCATTACCACTCGGCTTTCCAAATGAAGCCAGGTGCTCAGCTCTGTCCCTAATGGCTGGGTCCTTCACTTCCACTCAGTGCTGACCTCTGTATTTTTAAAGTGGGAAATATTGAAGGAAATGTTGAAAGAACCCACATGGCACAGAAAGTAGTGAGGTTCTTGGAGGGGACTCTCTGGGACAACCCAGATGGCATCTGCTTCCTGTCCCAGCACCTGGCACAGTGCCAGGCACACAGGGTGCCCTCAACAAATATTATAGGATGAACAGATAAAGATGGATAGGAACAGGTCAGGACTTAAATTCTGAGACCCCTGGGTGGCTCTGGGGATGGGAGGGCCACATACCTGAGCCCCTGTGTTTATGCTGCAGGCACCATCACAGCCAGCTGCTCAGATCTCCACCCCCGATGGAAGGCTCGGACCCCGGCCAGGAGCCCTCAGCACCCACAGGTGGGTGCCCACTCTCTCTCCACAGGAGGGGGGATGCCAGCGATCCCTGTGAGCATTGATAGTGTCACARCTGCGGAGGACTTGAGGCCAGTCCTCTGAGCTCAGACAAGGAATGTGCTGCCCACCTGGTTGGGTGAATCTGTCAAGGTCAAAAGCTCAGGTTCAACTACCTGCCATCCCTCTCCTCCATAAATTATTGTGCTAACTTGGKATTTACTGCCCAAAGGAGTTTACCTACCCCGTGACCTGTGCTTGTGACATGGATTACAGGGATACACTGGTGAGTGTTGCTGGGATTCTTTTAAAAGCCTTATTTAGCCTTTTTGAATTCAAACTGTGTCATTTAAAATGTGGACAGAGAGAGTAACACTTTCTCACAGTTACTCAAACCTATTTTTAAGGGAATTTATAGTCAATTTGGATGATCCCCTAACCCTGACCCCACGTTTCACCTCTTGTCACCTCCTGGTGGTTGATGGAGGCTTGTGCCTGTGACTTCAGGGGACACACAGCCCTGGTATCCATGGACACAGGCATGACCTTCTTATGAAAGCAAGCAGGGTCCCCACATGGTGGTGGGGGTCAGGGGTGGGGACAGRATGTGATGTGCAAGGGAACACTGGCCCCACTGGGCTGAGATTCCACCTGTCCATCTGCTCAGTCTTCTATTATGGGGTCCACAACTTGAGTTGGTAGGACACACTTCCACACTGCCAAGGAGAGRTGCACCTAAAATGTTTTAGCCACGCAGAACTTTCCAGAACCTTAACTACGTCCATGTGCATTGTGACTCATCAAGAAAGGGAAAATGCCCTGAGCCATCCCTACTTTTTAACCCTGGAACTCTTTTCCAATGCCTTTTTGTGTTTCTCAGACCCAATGCTCCCGAGCAGGAAGGGAGCACACTTCTAAAAGGACTTRGAAATGCCACCAGGCCCTGACAGAGGAATGCTGGTCAGTGGATCCCACCCAGCAGAATCACCTGAGGGCTGCTCAAAAACACTGATTCCCAGGCCTTCTGCGTGGGAATGGGGCCCAGGGATCTGGATGTTTAATAAGCACTTGGGGTTTATTTTACAGCCAGTTTGGAGGACTTTGCACCAGAGTAAGAATCTAAGAAGGAGTTCTGGTGCCTCCTACATATGCTCCCCGGCACTTCCCTGGGCCAGACTCTGGGCTCAGACTGAGAACAGGGACAGCCAGTGCCAGCCCCTGCCCTGAGCTGGAGACAGGTGTAAAGGAGCAAGTCCAGGCTTGAGTCAGGAAGGTGACGACTGAGTCCCACCCACAGGCCACGTAGGCTCTGGAGGTCGGAGGTATTTCAGGACAGAAGGGCAGGCTAGGGCAAAAGGCAGGAATCGGCATCCGTGTGGGGCACTCTGTGCCCGGGGAACACCACAGCCTGCAGGGAGACACGGGGAGCAGCCAGGGTGGCGTGGAGACCCAGCCCTCTCGAACCTGCTCTGCAGAGACTTCCAGAGTCTGTCTCCTCTCTTTCCCTGACTGTTCCTCTTCCCCTTCCCTTCTTGGCTCCCGGGTGGAAACCCTCCCTRTCCGGCAGGCTCAGTCCTGAGGCCACCTTCCCTGTGAAACCACCCTAGCTGCTGTCATTCATGTGAACACTCTCCCTCTGCCAAAGCGCACCCCACGTTCTCCCCAGATCCACCTGGCTCTACCTGGCCCTGTACTATTTGAACTCTTTCTCTATTTTAAGACCCTATATTCTGCTTGTCTTGTTCTATTCTGTGCAAAAAGAAACTTTTCATGGAGTGAAAAGTGGACTTTTCAATTTACCAAAATATATTAGTTCCTTAAAAAAAAAAAAAAACTCTTTATGCCCTTTGCTTGACAATTTCTCCTTTGAGGAATCCAGCTAAGGGGACTATTAGAAATTGGGACAAAGATGTATACAGAAAGATGTTTGCACAGCAGTTTTTACAATGGCAGAAAATTAAAGCAACCTCCTTGTTGAAATATAAAGGAATGTGTAAGTAAATTATACTGTATACATAGGACGAAGAATCTGCATAAAAGGTTTCAATGATATGGAGAAACYGTTATGAAGAAAGCAGGGAAAATCAGGATACGATACCATAGATATTACCTCAAGTCTATAAAAAAATGATTATGCTTTCACATTTGCTTACACGTCTAACTCAACAGAAAAACTTAAGGAAATACACAAATATGTTGGTGGTTTGTGTTGAAAGCAGAATGATTTTTATTGTTGCTGTTGTTATTTTCTGTTTTACATACTTACAAATTTTCCATATGCTCCCTGAGGAACACATATTTCATGTTTGTAATCAGAAGAAAAAGTTAGTGATTGAAAACCAGAAGGTGCAGTTTTCTCAGCCTCTGTTTGGCTTTCCCTGACATGGTATGTATGTTAYGAGTGACACATTTCTAAGGGACCATCTTGTGCGCTGTCTTCTGCTGTGTGCTGTGTGTTGTTACACCCTGGGATTGCAAATTCTGTGATGAGTTCAGCCTGGCTTTGCCCATCACTTCTGTGATTTGCTGTCCTCCTTGGACTCACCCAGAGTCTTGTGGGTTGCTGTGTCCAGGAGCTCCTTGGGTGAGACCCTTGGGAGTGGATGATGGCCCCCGTCCTTTAGAGTTTGGCTSTCTATCTTTTGTGAAGGTGGTCCCTGCCCTTGGCTCCCGGGGCAGAGCCCAGCTCAGTGATGCTCAGAGGGTCCCTTTCCATTAATCAGCAGGTGCTCCATCTGCACACACTTTTCACTGAATGGTTAACATGGGTATCACCCCTCAGATGCCTAGACCTGGCGCCATCTCTGTTTAGGACCCAGTGGTCCCATGCTTCTCAGTGTCTGTGGGGTTCTGTGACGGACATCATCATTAGTGGCTGTGCCAGGTGGGACGTTCACGCTGCATTCYTCCATCTCTCATTTCCATAACAGCCATGGTCATGGTGCTCATGTTTCCATTTCACAGCTGGAGAGACTGGCTAGGTGGCTTTCCAGAGTGCCAGCGAATCTAACATCCAAACCCAGGGTGCCCCTATAAATCTTGGTTTCCTCTGCTTTGCCAAGCCTGTAGCTACTCAAAGGCAGAACACACTTCCCCCAAAATGCCCACAGATGCCCAGTTCATGTCACTGGGTCACCGTTAGGACAAACCACATTGAAAGCCTTTACACTGCTCATTGGAATTGTGTACTTTGGACTTGGACATAGTCACCCAGTCTGAAAATGTTATAGCACTGATGTAAGGGGATGTGAAAGGGATACATGGATGCCATTGCGAGACCTGAAGGCAAGACAGCTCAGAATTGGGGTCTGAGGCCTATGTCACCATAGGAACTGATCCACTGCATGATGTCACCCGGAATAACGGGTACCTTYGGCCTCACAGACCTGCCTTAATGGGGATCTGGGGTCGTGTGGGCACTTGTCCCCTCTAGACAAGGGTCAGAGTGAATAGTACCCTTCCTGTCATGGTTAATACACCAAACAGGACCTATACGGAGCGAATAGGAGGAAACTTCCCCCACATAAACCACTGGGAGAAGAAGGGGGTGTCTTCTCTGTTCTCTGACCTGTGGAAACAGAAGGCATGTGCCCCAAGCCCCAGGAGACCCTGGAATTTAATGGACATCATTTAGCACCCACCCACAGGAAGGCCACAGAACACACAATTCTTGAAAACTCAAACACTGATCAGTGGTTGAATAATAAGAAATTAGCTGTAGAACAGTGTAAGTCCATATGTACAATGTGAGCAATGAGACCAACCCAGAGTAGTGAAAAGTGTGAGTTACTAAATGAATTTTAAATGCAACTTTATTAGTTTAAAAAGGCCWGGCATTTAGGAGATAATTCATAAGTGCTGAATGGATATTTTGGTGAGTAGACAGGTAGATAAATAGGTCCATGGATAAGTTAATTAATTAATTACGGGCAGTTAGCACATAATAGCACTTACTCCGTGCCAACCCCTCTTCTAAGTGCATTGTACTTATAGACCTATTCAATTCTCAAATAATCCTCTAAGTAAGTACTACTCACAGCCTCATTTTAAGAGATCACATGAGCCTCTGAATGGCAGGGCTGGAATCGGGGTCGTAGGTGTCTGCRCTAGAGTGTTGGTGTGAAGCCACCAAGAATTCACACTCGCGTGAAGGATGGAAGGTTTGAATGTCATTCACTGTACCAATGGCATGCCGCTGGGGAGGGGGGGAGATGGAAAGTGTGTTTCCATAACTACATCTGGCTCTTTGAACAAGTCCTATGCCTGTTGTCTCAGGGATGGGGAAACCGAGGCTCAGAGAAGGTCTTGGTACCATACCAGCCTGTGCCCAACTGAGGCCAGACTCAGACCTCTGCATGACACCATTCGTCCCTCACATCCCACCCATGGCCAGCCCAGTACTCCTTTGCAAACCCTCCTCTCTGGTCCATGTCCAAATTCCTTCAAATGCTCCACTACAGAGGAGCCCARCCCACCCTGTACCCCTAGTGTAGTCCTTCCTTCCTGAGGCAACATGGTGATAAAGATACCAGCCCTCCAGGAGCCCAGACTTCTCCATATACTGAAGCTGAGATCGGTTTCTGGAAGGACCAGAGATCTTGCAACAAGCTTTAGCATGGACCTTGGTTTTCCTTTTCAACAATATGAATGGGGATGGGAAAACCCTGCTGGTCCCCCGTGCTCCAATTGTGATGCACATACAGATTCCTACCAGCAGGCGGCGGCAGAGCCTAGCAGTTACAGATGCCCCACCTGGAGGCAGGCTGCCTGACTCCTGACTTCTGGGACTAGCTGAAGACCTCACTTGCCTCTCAGAGCCTCAGGCTCTTCTTCTGCAAAATGGGCACAAAATGCCTGCCTCATAAAATTGTTCTGAGGATCACATGGTATCATAACACAGTGTTGAGTAACAATGTCGTACTGACCACCTAATTAATGTTAAGCGTGATTTTCTCATCATAATCAGCATGATAGAACAAATCCCCAAAACTTACCCACCCTGAGTTCTGAGACTTGACATACTGAAAATGACAAGGTCCCAACTAAGGTCTTAAAGATTCTTTGGTTATTCAAAGGGCCTTTATACCTCACCTTCATGATGATGTTTTCCGTAGAAGTACCAGGTCCTAGTGCCTAATAAATACACCAGGAGGCAGGCATGGATCCCAGATATGGCAGTGACTTGTCCAAGAGCTTTAAAACCCTTACCCTGCTTCAGAAAGGGGGATTCTGGGGACAGCATGACCGCCTCTGATCCTGCAATCACAGACAAATCCTTTATAGCACTGGTGGGGGGGGGGGAGAATCCTTTTTGTATTATTTGGCATTTTGCCAAAATTAAACAAAAGCTGTATTGATGAAATCATCACTTATAACCACAGGCCCTGAAATAGTTTCAGATGCCATTGCTTGCTTTTTCTTGAGYGGAACACAGAAACATTGAGTTCTCAATACCTTCCAAGAAAAGCACTGGCCGCCAGTCCCCGGCAGAATGTCTCCTTTCCAGGCGGCGGCCTTGGGTGCCTCTCTGAGACCCRCCCTTGTTTTCACAGCTGCGCCCCAGCTGAAACTCCTCTGCGGGGCAGACATCTTGAGGACCTTCCAGACCCCCAACCTCTGGGAAGACGCACACATCCAGGAAATAGTGGAGAAGTTTGGCTTGGTGTGCGTGAGCCGGGTGGGCCACGACCCCAAGGGGTACATCCTGGACTCGCCCATCCTGCGGAGGTACCAGCACAACATTCACCTGGCCAGGGAGCCCGTGCAGAACGAGATCAGCGCCACCTACGTCAGGAGGGCCTTGAGCCAAGGGCAGAGCGTCAAGTACCTGCTGCCTGACCCTGTCATCGCCTACATCAGGGACCAGGGTCTCTACACCAAGGACAGTTCCTGGCAAGTCACAGGCACCCAGAGGGGCCAAGGAAAGACGAGCTAGGAGGGACTCAGCCACCCCTCCTCCACCCAGCACCTCTGGGGAGGGGGTGGTACAGTTTTTGGTTTGCTTTTGGGTTTTGCTTTAGGTCAGCATTTTTCATTTGTTTTATTTCTACAGTGATGTTACCCTTAAGTCTTGACTCTCCTGCTCCAGGACAAGATAGCCTGCCCCCACAGCAAGGACAGACGCTTATCAAGGAAGTTAAAATGATGGGGCAGGTCCTAAGGATCAGGCAGACCCTCTCAGCCACTRCATGGTAATTAGCTCTCCACACACTGAATACCATTCTGTGCGCCCCAGGGTCCGAGCAGAATTGTCCACGTGCATTTTTTAACTAGGACCAGGTGCAGCATGCTGGTCTTGATTGGCGGGATTTGACAGGATGCTAATTACTGAACAGTGGGCCTTGTCAATGTCCTGGTTTCAAACAGAATAATACTAAACGGAGGAGTCAGAAATTTGGAAATTTGCTGATTTCCACGACCTCTTGCCTTACAAACCATCGTCTACCTGCCTGCGGGCCTTTCCTCAAATTTCAACTAAACTCTTTCTAAGGCGCGATCCTCAAGTATTATTTTTGATACAKCGAGTATTTTTAACACTGCTATTCTCCAAATGCCAGAGCTTCTGGTTTCCCTGCTTCTAAAAAGGAACGGAGGTAAAACAGATGCCTGTTTTAGATGTTTTTGAATGTTTTATGACTGCTTACCTGTTGGAATATTGGCAAAGGGATAAATAATAAACTGACATCAAAAAGTGCTAATGAAAAGTTTCTCTCTTTTTTTTCTCCCTTTGTTATATTATTAATGCCTGGTGTGCCGGCTGTTGCTCTTCTTTTTAGTCACTCCAAGAAATTTGCTACTGTTCCTACTGGAATGACATGAATTTGAAAGTTTGTGTCCTGGGTCCAGGGAGCACAGGAAATAATCGCTTTTCAAGGTCATGCAAACAGTTTTCTCATCCAAAGCACTGGATCAGTGCCTCTGTTCAGGTGGCCTCAAAAGGGAGCAGGGGCCCCTGGTGTGTTCAGATCTGACATTGCACTCCAGGTCTGGCAAGGGCTTTGGGGGGCCTGATTGGTTTGGGGTTTTACTCCACACCTGCTGACCACTGACTGCACTCAGAATTTGCTTCTGCATAGCTCTCCTCTGGCTCAGCTTTGTTTCAGATTTAATGGTGCAGATAAACAAAGGGCAGGCAGGAAAAGCTAATGCTTCCTCTAAGATACCCCAATATCCGTGTTGTATCCTGAAATCAATATTAGAAAATCAATATCAGTAAAATTTAAACTAAAATTTAAACTAAATGAGGGTAGGACACTCATTTAAGACCCCCCAGACTTCCCTCCCCTACTGGACTCTGCTCTTGAGAAGGTCCCTGAGGACCTCAGAACTCAGGGGAAGAGGAATCAGACAGTCTTGTCCAAAAGCTACCACAGCATAATAGTGTGACCTGCCTAACTCCCTTCTCCACTGGAAGCCTCGKTTTCTCTACCTTTAAAATGGGAGTTTGATTGGATATCCTCTAAATTCTCTCCTACCTCTCATTTTCTAAGACTCTGAGTACTTCTGACTTTGTTTCTTTATTAGCTTGTCCAGGCATCTTTACGCACATTTCTAGCAAGATAGACAACTCCCCACGGGCAGAGGGGGGTCTTTGTTTTGTTTGTTGATATATCCTAATATCCTAAGTGCCTAGAAATTTGCTACTCAAAGTGCAGTCTAGGCCAGTGTTTGTACCCCCCTAGGTGTTGGTTAGAAACACTCTTGGGTCCCACTATAGACCTACTATTCTGGAAAAGGGCCTTTRAAAGTATACACAGTTCAGGCTTCACGAAATGGATTTGCCTGATGACAGTGTAGACAGCAGGGAAGTGACAATGGACTTGAGACATGGAGGATGTGTTCCCAAGACTTGGGTGTGATGGAGGTGACTGGCTTTCAGGAAGAACAGCATATACAAAGGCCCCRAGGCAGGAGAAGGCAACATAAGTACCACGATGAGCAGGATTCATCATCACTTCCTCAAGAAAGCATCAGTTATTCCATTGTGCACCTGAGAGCAGGTACCTTGCCTGCTACCATCTCCCTAGTCTCAAGGTACCAGACGCAGCAGGCTTTCTAGAGAAGTCCTGATCTCCCTGGTCCACATCTGTATAATATGGCTTCCACCAGGTAAGGCATGRATTTTGAGCCTTTCCATTGTCTCTTTCTAAAGTAAAAAACACAACAAACCTTTATTAAAATATCTATGTATACAGGCACACATGTATATATGCATCTTAATTTCTCTTACCTTGCTTTGTCTTATTAATTCATGTATCCTCTATTTTTTTTTAATAGAAGGGAAAATATGTATCGTGGCTGTGGCCCTGGCGCACTGTGTTGACTCTGACCTGCACACCTGATTTCACATTCCTTCCCATTCCCTTGGGTTCTGTTTGCATTTCGTTTGCCAGACTGTTTTGTTTATTTTGCAAGAACAGAAAAACAGAGGTTTTGGCTCTTGGGTAAATAGAATTTCCAGTCTTAAATAAAGGTTCTCCTGTGATAGCATTTGCTGCCCAAATGAGAGGAGCGCTGTATCCTTGCCTGGAGAAAGAATTTTTTCATTTATAATCCTGTCTGTGTCACTTGGGACAGGATGATGTGAAATCCCATTTTAAACTGATTGTGCTCCGGATTTGCAAGGTACGTTTGGTAATTGGGTTAATACATGAATATGAATTTTCTTATCCTGATCTTCCTGCTTCCTATAGGAGCGATGTTTCTGCTCTTCTTTTTTTTTTGCAGAGGGCACCCTGCAATTCAATTCAGTCATGAAGTTATTTTCTTAGACCCAAACTGGGTATTACAGCTACATACACAAGTGACTAATACATAATCTACAATAATTCACCTAGACATGAGCCTCAGAACAGTTTAGTACTGTTAAAGTAAAAGGATTGTCCATGGCACTATAGACTTGAAGGGACCCTCAATTTCATCTGRTCTCCTGTTTTTCCATTATCATAAAGTCCCACAAATGAATGGGAGTTTCACTATTAAAAACGACACTAATGATGCGTTCCATGGACAGGTTTGAGGAGCGCGGCTTTCCTTGCGCCTGTTGGAAGTCCGTGGTGTGCTTGAACAGCCCGTGACTACTGCCTTCCACAGCCCCTTACTACAGGGCCCCCCAGCCCAACCGCCATCATCTCTTACTGCTACAGCAGTGACCTCCTAATGGAAGTCCCCAACCCACTTCTGGCCCTGCAATCCATTCTCCACATAAGATTTGTGTGCAAATCTGGTCACATCACCTCACTACTCAAACTCCTTCTGGAAGGCACCATTCAGACAACGAAAAGACAGACTAGGAGGGAACATTTGCAAAATGCATGTTTAATATGTAAGGCTCCTGAATATGTAAAGAGCTCTAAGAACAACAAAAATAAGATGAACGATCCAATTTAAAAAGAGGTCTGCACCTACTAATAGRAAAAGTAGGTCCAAATCCCCATCACATCAGCTTAGGAACTTACTTCCTCAACAAGACTCCTAAAGTGCAAGAWGTAAAATCAAGAATCAATAAATGGGATGGTATCAAACTAAAAAGCTTCTTCACAGYGAAGTAAACAAGAACATGAAGAGAGAGCCTATAGAATGGGAGAAAATCATGTCACTTACACCTCAGATGAAGCATTAATCTCCAGGATACATAAAGAACTCAAAAAACTTAAAACCCAATCAATAAATGGGCAAAGGAACTGAACMGAAACTTCACAGAGAAGAAACACGATCAGTCAACAAATATATGAAAAAATGTTCAACATCACTAGCAATTAGATAAATGCACATAAAAACTGCACTGAGATTCCATCTCACTCCAGTCAGAATGGCAGTTATCAAGAATACAAGTAAGTATTGTCAAGGATGTGGGGAAAGGTACATTCATACACTGCTGGTGGGACTGMAAATTTGTGCAACCACTGTGGAAAACAATTATAGAGATTCCTCAGAAAACTTGGAATGCAATCACCATTTGACAMAATTATCCCACTCCTTGGCATATCCCAAAGTACTTAAAATCAGTGTACTATAGTGACGTGGCCACATCAATATTTATAGCAGCTCAATTCATAATAACTAAGCTATTGGAACAAATCTAGGGGCCCTTCAACAAATGAATGGGTAAAGAAAATGTGGTATATAAATGGAATATGACTCAGCCATATAGAAGATTGAAATTACGGCATTTGATGGTAAACGGATGGAACTGGAGACTATTATGCCAAGCAAAATAAGCCATTTCCCAAAAAAAAAAAAAAAAAAAAAAAAAGCCTGAATGATCTCTCTGATATGTGGATGCTAACACTTTATAAGGGGGTGGGAAGGGAAGAATAGAAGTTTATTGGATTAGACAAAGGAGGACAAAAGACAGGGAGGGGCATAGGAATGGGAAAGACAGTGGAATAAATTGGACATAACTTTCCTGTGTTCATGTGAATACATGACCAGTTTAACTCCACATCATGTACACCCACAAGAATGGGAAGTCATTCTCCATGTATGTATGATATGACAAATGCACTCTACTGCCATGTATATCTAAAAAGAACAAATTAAAAAGTTCTCAGAAGCATTGGCTAGACACATGCAGGTGAGCCCAGCACCCTGACGTTGCTTTTTGGGAAGGGTCTCCTGGTCGGACTGGTGCTCATCTGGCATCTGAGAGCTTGGCTTTTGGGAAGCTGCCTAGTCTCTACCGGGCAAGGCGRCTTCATCTTCCCGGGGCACTGAAGCCTGCTGGACCACCTGTCTAGACCACTGGACAGACAATGCTGTTTGTGGTGAATGCCTTCTAGGAGTTTGGAATTCCAGTAACCAAGGCTGGTCGTGTGGCTGAGGGTGGTSCCTATATACACCACCAGCCCATGAAGGGACAGGGGACTCTGCGTCTCTAGCAGGCTTCCCTGGGCAGGGCTGTGCACGATGGCCGCATTTCACAGCCAGAGCCAGACCTGCTCTGTGGGACTCCACCCCAGGAGTGAGGACTGTGGAAGCCTGCCCTGGACTCCTCCTGGAGCCTCCACCTGCTGGGTGTGCATCCTTTCTCCATGGTAACCATGACCATGCATGCGTATAACTGCCTCTGGGGTCTGTGAGTCCTCCCAGCAAGTCACCAAAGGCGATATATGAATGGCAAACAAGCACAGGAAGAGTGGCTCAGTATACCAACCACGAGGGTTTGAATGTAAACCAGAACCAGAATGGGCCACGACTTCGTACCTATTAGGAAGGTTAAACCTGGTYGAGCAATTTCACTCCTCAGAATCTACCCCCAAAGAGATGAAAACATCTGTCCACTCAGACTGTGTGCAAATCTGTAGCAGCATCACAGCCCAATACAGCAAGAACTCCGATGTGCGTTAGTTGAGTGGAGGCGTGTGTGCTGTATCCGTTCGATGGAACGCTGGTAGCTCTCCACTGCCTTAGTAGACACCTGAGATAACCAGCCTAGGAGGTCAGAGCCTGACTTCGGTTCACAGTCTCACCCCTGGCCCCCTCGATTTGGGGCTGTGGCAAGGCAGAACTTCATGGTGGGGAGTGCAGGTGGAGGAAGCTGCTCACTTCACAGCAGCCAGACAGCAAAGACAGAGCCAGGTGGAGGAAGGGCTTGAGTCCCCCTCCCCCCTCACACCTCTGTGACACCTTCCTTCCACTAGGCCCCTCCTACCTGGGGCTCCATCACCTGTCCCCAGGGCCACAG